AAAAGGAAATACATCAATAGTTGATAATTCACGCTTTGCCACCCTGTATTCGAAAGAATACACAGTATACTATCCCACGAAAAAGGTTGTAAACCGTCCAATTTATTTTCACTTTCAGAAAAGGCGTAATATTACGTAGGCAATCGGAAATTTTGAGCCTTTAAAATGCGCGGTAGATAAAAAATTTCAATTAATTTTTCCCGACACTACGTCTTTAGAATCATGAGGGTCATCCAAAAGGTAAGTTCCGCTATTTCATACCTTCTGAACGAAACGTATACTCACACTGAGCTTTAAAAGAATCCCAGAAATTAGAAAATCGTTCGACAGGTTCGCGAGAAAACTTGATTTTACTGAGACCACCTACTGTCGGTGGAAACTCATCAACGGATACGCCAGAAGATTGCACTACATTTTTGGATTTTTTCCTCAAAAGTGAAAATTGCTAAAAGCAAAAATGTTGAATTAATTTTAATCCTTGTATCTCCTGCTTCAATTTGGTGTATTGCTTTAACATTTTTGATCAATTGCTCAGTAGAAAAATCAATTTTTTTGCGACGATCTCATTCGGCAGCACGTTTTTATTTAAAATCGCGATGTCAGATTGCATACATTAGGTAAGAAAAAAAAAAAAAGAAAAAAAAATGATGCGTATATATCAATCAGTATGCGTGTAATACTGTAACAATGTTGAAAAACTTAAAACACTTAAACACTTAACACTTAACACTTAACACTTTAACAAAAAATGGCGGATTTTTTTAAAATCAGATTCACTCAATTCAAGGCACACCGAGTGGATTAACATGCGCCGCAGACGCAGATCTCAACTCTTCTCGCTAACCGGTTATGAAAAAACGTCAAACCAATATACTAAACTAAGCTGAGAATATGACAAAAAACTTGGAATAATTCCACTCTTTGCTTCCAGCTTTCTTTGCTTACACTACAAGCTGTGAAAACTTCGGTGCGGTCTGCTAGTATACCGGCACTAACAGGAGTGTTTGATCGATTATCGATATTTCTCCATTTGCAGCTATGGTAAAGAATCGATTATGAAGATGTTCGTTGTGGACACCTTGTTTATCGATCCTTCATAATAGGTTTATATGGGAGATCAATCGATAAAAAAGCACCCGCGGAGACACAACGGTAGGTAATCTCGGTAAAATTGAGATTTCTTGCGAATCCATCGACAAATTTTTAAATCTTAACCGAAAGTTTCGGGTGCATACCGATGGCCAAAGTGCGAAACCACGAATCTCCATTGCGGTATTTCAAAATTTCTGCTTCTATTTTAATTTTTCGACGAGAAACAAGGCAACTTTACAGCTTGAAAAAACAGAATATTCTACTAACAGAGAGGAAAACTCAAGGAAGCAAGAAATTACATTGACTCGTTTTCCAAACGAACAGCGAAGTATGACAGGAGGTCTGCAACGTCGCAACTGGAAATATGCGGTTTTGAAATTTGGTCATCGATATGTCTATCACGTAAGTTTTTACTGATTTCTTATCTTTTCCAGTTCAGCGGGCTGATTGTTGGAATTGATAGACAAAGCGATAGAAAAAAAATGACATAATGAGTAAGGAGCGATCCTATGGGTTAATTTGGGTGGTTTTTCAAGACTAAGGGAGAAAATGGTGGACTAACTAAAGAGTCTCTCGTGGGTTGCCGTTAGTTAGTCTATTACTTACCTCCTCTGTCCATTGCAACCACCAACTTCCCCCAATAGAATCCGATCATATCTTTTTTGTCTTCATTGTCTATAGCTTTTTCTATCAATTTCAACAATCAGCCCGCTGACAATGTAAAATATTGGAACTCACTATTTAAACGACCCTGCAAATTCGCTCTACTAAAAATTTTGCCATCTTGGACTGAAGCCCCGTTTCCCGTGAACGGCCATTGATAGAGACAATGAAAGGAAGCATTAAAATAAGGAGTAAGTTGTTCGATTATGAACGACTGAAATTAAAGCTCGTGATAATTAATAAAAAAAAAATTCAGAATAAAACGGGTTGATGATGGGGTAATAGAAGGGAAAGTGGGGAGAACGAAACGAGAAAAGTGAAGAGATCACATCATCCGTCCACCGTCTGTACACACTTATAATTCACTTATGTAATCATTCAACAAAGTTGTGCTCGACCGAACTGTTAATTTGAATAATTTTTCAGGCTTGGATACAAAATCCCTGTAATGATAAACTCGTAAGTGTGGTATAGGAGCTGTGATACAACTTTATCGACCTCTATGCGGCTTAAATTGCATAATCATCGAAATGAAGGCGGCGGCAACATCGCGTTAGTATCTTACCTATCTCAGGAAAGCTCTGTTTTGGTTTTCAAGCTCCAAAATTTGGATGAGATAGAAGAAAATATAAAATTCTGAAAGGAGCAGTAAGACGAAAATGGAAACGGTAGGTACGGTTCGTGAAAAAAGAGTGAGACTGAGAATTTAGCTCAATAATTCAGCACATTACTCAATGGAAATACTCTCCGATTCAAGCCAAATATGATCGCCAACATTTAGAGCAAGATAAAAAATCCGACATCTTGGCTGAAGCATATAGTTTTTGCAGCACAAAAGAGTAACTACCACATATTTTCTACTATGCTTCAAAAGTCACCTAACTAATTGGGTTCAATTCATGGTTTCAAATGGTCTACAATGTAAGGAGAGGAAATCTGGGGATGGAGTTATTTAATTTCAACAGTTTATAAGTTCTACATGAATTCTAAAGAATGAAAAGCACATTCTATAAATAGAAATGCTTTTTTCCTTGTCATCATTTTTAAAGTTGATTGTGTACCAACTTCCAGATGATTCTGTCATCAAATATTGTTAGGAGGAAAAATCTAAAATATTAAGAATCCATGAGGGCACGTGTGATTTTTTTTTTTTTTTTCCCAATTTGGAGGAGCATAAATTTCAAAACATAACAAACACCACTGACAAGGACCTGACGTGTTTATTAGATATACAAGAGCATGCGAGCGCCCCTTGACACAGAGCTAAATTAAAAAAGCAAACAAAAAACTCGTTGACTGAAAATTTCGGAAATGGATAGAGGAAAAAAGAATATGTCAATATTTGCATCTCTCCTTGCCGTGTCATGTTTCAGGGAAACAGAGATTCTAAACAAAGTTAGAGCAATTATTTATTTTCCATGAATCATGTTGGAGAAGTTTCTACTGAGGCACGTGGAAAGAATAAATCATACTGAACTTTCTTTTGGCTGGGTAACGTTCATTGCAGTTCTGTTGCATTGATACCCATCTATCAAAAACATATGGAGAGCTCATACTTTTTGTCTTTGCTTTGCAATAATCGTATTTCCTTCAGCTGCAACCACAATGTGAACTTAAGCTTTCTGCCAGCATCATAATTTCACTTTTATTTTTAGAAAACAAATTACTACAGAATTGCTGTGAGTGAGAAATTAAACTGACTGATGAAAATTTTTAGGGACTTTTAAGTTCTTCTCTTTTTTAGAATCACCTTTAGAATATTTCACTTATGTGACCCGTTTGAGGTAGGAAATTTTTATTTTTAAGCTGAATTATTGATGCACATACAAAAGATGTACAAAAACTTGTAATTATTCGGATAAATTAGGACTAGATCCATCCTAATGCTGAAAACATGCGGAAAGTCAATTGGGAAGCCAACACTCAAATACATACAAATATTGATGAATTATGAAACGTGAAAGTTTAAAAGGATGATTTTTCCTTTAGAAAAGCATGTTCCTATGCTTTGGTTGTGAACAACTTTGAAAGGAATCAAAGTAAGCAGAAAAAATCCACCAAAAAGCTCAAAAAGCTCAAAAAGCTGTTCTCACACTGGGAGAAATTAAAATGACTGAAAAAATGATCTACTACTGTTAGAATGAAACTGCAAATCCGTTTCAATCAAAGCATCTGAGTGCCTTCAAATTCCTATCATGCAGCTTGCCATACTCTCACCAGTCATACTGCATATAAGATGGAAAATTCTGGCCAAATATTAAGGCAATTAACTTATGATAACTAATTTCCGAGTTATGTAACATTCACTTACTCCAGACACACACTGAGAAAGTAGATAATGAATATTAAAAAATATGAACTCTATTTGTTCAATATTCAAATTCAGTTATGAGTCTGAAAGGAGTACAATACACTAAATTAATAACTGACTAGGTAAGATTTTGGCATAAATTTGCACCATCGAAATGATTCTCTCCATTTTTTTGCATTAAAAATAAAAATGCCTTAAAACTCAATTAGGACATATTTTATGTGGACTGCACTGTTACTCTTCGAAAAAGGTCAAGACTTCAACTTATTATGAAAGTTAAAATCAAGAGTGATAAAACCATAGATACTAGAAGGATTAAAAAACTCCTTCCATTTAGACAGGTGCAAAATATCCTCCTAGCATTTACTTGAGACTTCCTGTTACATCAATGCTAATGAAGAGGAGACAGGTAACAGACCACTGGCACAGCTGATATTTTCCTTCCTTAAATAATTATGATCTAAGTTCCTTGGATAATTATAATTTTACTTTTTAGAATATTTTCATCATTTTTGCATTCTAAATTGAAATGATCTTAAAACATTTTCAATGGTAATTGATGCAAAAATAGTCGGGAAAATCTATCAGTCAATTTTATTCAGACATAAACATCCTCTAGAATTTCTTGAAATTAATGGCGGCACCTAGAGAAAAGCTTTCTATTGGTGCGCTCATTGATGTGAAAGAATAATAAAAAAGTACTGGAAAAGTTTACTTCTAGGAAATTTGTCAGTCTTGGTCCATTATTCTCAAAAATGACTGAGTTTTTTCTAGTAAAGAAATCAAATCATTTAACTATGTATTTACATGAATTGAAACGTGAAGTTTGTCCTCCAGAATTCACTGCTTAGTGTTTCTACACGAAGCTCTACAAGCACATGAACAAAATATTAAGATAAGGAAAACAGAAAACTGAGGAAATAATTCGACTTACCACTTCTGTAGGACGAAAATATTTAGGATTGACTTTGACTCGGACAATTTTTGTAGCTTCCTCAATGCCTACTTCATTCACACCTGAACCTTGCCAAACTATCCTCTGGCCGATTAGTGAAAATGCTACCTCGACAAATTCCCTAACACTGTGCGATTCTCCTGTCGCAATGACAAAGTCCTCTGGCTTTTCCAACTGAAGCATCATCCACATGGCCTGAATTCCAAAATTAAAAGGAATACATGTAATATCAAACCTGAAATCTTCAAAGATTACACTTTGAGAGAATTGAAGTAAGTACTTATAAGAAATATAGCATAAGTTTCAAAATCTGTGTAGTGCCCTTTAGCCTAGTGATGTTAAGCTTATTGGAAAGTTTAAAATTATACTTTTGTGCAACGGGGTTCAAGAAAAAAGTCAGGAAAATTTTGAAAAAAGAGAGAAAACAATTGTAAGTAATTAGAAAACCAGGGATACTAGAAAAAAATAAGGAAACTAGAGTAATCTGCATTTGTATAAGCAAAATTCTTGCTTGTCAAGAAACTAAAGCTTACTTGAGTTAAATCGGTGGCTAAATTAATTTCAGCCTGCGACAAAATAAAAAAACTTTCTTGCGACCATACATCAAAGGAGAAAGGAGATCTTTATGAAACCTAGCTCTAGGTTGTTATAATTGGATGCATAAGATTTTTATCAATTGATAATTTTACTTAAAGCTTCATAAGTAACAGCTGAACAGTAATTTCAGTTTGTCTGTGAGCGGGATACTAAATCTCATTGGTTCTAGAGGAGACTTTAAACACTTACACCTCACTTACATTTTGATTTTCGATTTTCAAAAGTGATGTGTTTTGCATGAAATTTTGACAATCATATATATTTTGCAAGATTTTAATTTGAACCCTGTCTAGTGGTCCATTCACTGAAAAAAGCAAGCTTTGTCACGCATAGTGAAAAGATTATTAGGACGTGGAACCAAACAGCTCCCGAAGTTAAAAATTGATGTGCTACATAAACATTGAGGCAGCATGTTGCAAAGCTGTTTGACAGATCCTACATGCTTGCCATTTAAACACAGCCAATTTTTTTACCACTTGCTCTGCTTACCGGTTTAGAATTTCTGAGATTACAAATCTTTAAAAATTCAGCTGGTAGTAGCTATTATAGCACCTTGTCTAAAATTAAAGCGAAATGAGATGTAACGAGACCAACCTCGACATAATCTTTGGCATGACCCCAATCTCGTTTGGAATCAAGGTTTCCAAGCTCTACGAACTCAAGTAATCCGAGGTAAATTTTAGCAACCGATCTTGTGATTTTCCTAGTGACAAAATTTGAGCCTCTTCTTGGACTTTCGTGGTTGAACATGATCCCATTAACAGCAAATATATTGTAAGCCTCTCTATAATTTACAACGATCCAATATGCATAGAGTTTGGCTGCAGCTGAAATACAGAAATACAAAGAAGTTGAAATGAGCCACATAAAATAATCTTGACCAGGAATAAATAACTAAAAAGCAGTTACAACTTCAATAATATTCATGTAACCATTGAGACCGGGTCTTATAATGCTCAAACTTATTGTTTGCGTCTTTTTACTTGATTAAAAACAAAATTTTAAAACCCATGTATTGAAGATCTTATGATTTTCACTGTTGAAGCAATTAAGTTTTCTGCTCATTGTTGGAGTGCTTTTTCAAAAATGAGAGCGTCTTTTTTAGACGCTGAAAAAATGGTGCTTGAGTAGCTTGAGGTATTCCTTTACTTACCATATGGGGACCTTGGATAAAAAGGTGTAGTTTCTTTTTGAGGCGTTTCAACAACTTTGCCATACATTTCAGAAGTCGAAGCTTGGTACAATTTCACAGAGTCTTCTAGACCAGCTGTACGCACGGCATCTAGTAAACGGAGAGTGCCAAGTCCATCAACTTCCGCTGTGTATTCACTTAAATCGAATGAGATCTGAAACAGAACAGTACAATTTAAGCTAGAGGTAATAAGCAGGCCTAATTGCGAAATTGAAAATCTTAGAATACTTAATAGAATGTTCAAAAATGTTTCTGAGTTCCTAAAACATGACACTTGATATTTAAAAAAATGAGTAAGAGTATTAAAACAATTGATCTGATCAGTCAAAATTCAGGTGCTTTTATTTCTTAGTTTTGTAAGTACCTGTTCGCTTTTTCTTGCTGATAGAACAATTGACATGCATATAGATGATGAAGCTGCAGAAATGGGTCTCTCAGTTTCCAGTGTAGCAGGCTTCCCGTCATACTTTATTGTCTGCAAGGAAAATTACAAAATGTCATTTCTTGACCACTTTAGAGAATTTTATTCTTTGTATGAAAAATACTCTGTGCATATTTCAAGTCATGATGTTAGTTTGGTCTCCTTTGAAAAAACAAAATTGGAAGAGAAGCTTTTGAACACAGCAGCGTCTTTGCAGTTTCACTGTCAAGAAGTAGAAATTGTAAACAGTTGAATGCTCAACTGTAAATAGCGGCAGCATACAAACTATGGCTGAAGATATTGCTATGCAGTATGTGCATTCAATAAAAAACTTGTAAGTAACAGTAAGTAATTCTTAGAGCCAAGAAAGTATAATGGGAGCCTGAGCTTTCTATGAAATCTTTCATACATTCTTTGGCTTTGTATGTGATTTGCACCCATTAAAACATCCGTTCACCATAAAATTATTGAACATTAAGTGGCAAACTAAATGCCTTGCATTTTACTCAATTGACCAATAAGTAACAACCTTGTTATTCTTTCAAACTATTCTGACTAATTTTGTACCTTGAAATTCATCCTTGTTTAAACAAATCTCTGGATATGTTGTGAGGTTGCCTGCTTGCTGCACTTTGCTATGATACAAGGGCATAATATGCATTCATCGAGATACTTAAGTGCCCTTTATTCAGGGAGAAGAAATAAGAAGGAGCGCAATTTGTTTTTGCACACCTCGTCATCATAAGTATTGGACTCCACTGAATTTTGAGAGGTCGTCACCTTTCGGCCAGAGTATCATAAATGCCATGCGACATTTCAACATTTCCGCCGCCATTTTATTTTCTTACAGGGAAATTTTTGGTTGAATCTGTTTGAAAATTTCACTGAATTTTATCAGCAGCGCAAAGAAAATTCAGTGAAATTTTCGGACAGCTTCGTTGAAAAATTCCTCTGTAAAAAAATAAATGGCGGCAGAAATTTTAAAACGTCGCATGATGCTTGTGATAGTTTGGCCCGAAGGTGACGGGGTGATCCTGAAAACCACTCAGAATACCTTCTGAGTGAAAAATTTACCTTGACATGACTTTGGGCAGCAAGATTATAAATCTCTTGCGGACGAATTTTGCTGATGAGTTTGACTAAACAACTACTATCCGTGAGATCACCATAATGTAACTTCATTTTACCCTCCGTGTGGGCTTCTGGATTGGAATACAGATGTTCAATGCGGGTGGTGTTGAAAGTGCTAGCACGTCGTACGATTCCATGAACATCGTATCCTTTTTCCAATAACAGCTCTGCCAAATACGAGCCATCCTATAAAAAGTATGAAGAGGTTATAAAGACATAGAGATCATTGGCATAAAAGGTAAAACAGTCAATGACTCAGGAACAAACATTGACAGGATGCATCACTTTGTGGCTGGCTTTTCATCCTGTCACGAACGGAACGAGATGATTCATGTGTTATCACCGCGCTATCACAGGCCAATCAGAGCTGTACAGGCGAGTTTGTTTACATCAGAGCTGACACTGACACATCCATTAATCTGTTATCTTTGCTCCTCATAATGGTATTTATTGTGAGTGTGTGTGCGAGTGCATAGCAAGAATTTCACACCATTCGGACTCCTGAAACCTTCGGAATATACTTGTGACTAAGAAAACTACAACATTGTTACTACAAATCGCCACGTAAGTAAATCGTACGTAAATACGAAAGCCGGGTAGAGTGAGTCACGTCAAGCTCCAACCGGAAAAACAGGGCGTAGGGGGAGTTAGAAACGAAGTTATTGAAATCACACTTCCGGAAAGCAATGAATTACTTCTCGACGAAAGATCTGATGCATTTAATTTCCATTTTAACACAATAATCGCACTCTAAGTAATCACCAGTTTACGTACTTGCCCTGTAATCCCTGTGATAAGGGCAACTTTCTGTTTATCGTTGTTCACTTCGGCCATTTCGGATTCAGTCAGTGCCAACACCGCACTTTGAAAGTTTCACTACCCCGATTGCTTTAAAGAAAAGGACGCTAGCAGGAACATGAATTGAGTCGAATGAGACATTATTTCTTCCTCTTGAGTTGTCGCTATTCTCCTTCTCCACCCGACCACTAGCTGATAACGAAAATCAACAAAAATGACGTCAGCAACGCACGAGCACTCGGCCTGTGTCGGACGCGTTCGGGTGCTCTCGGTTTTTGCCCGCTGGAGTTTTAGCGGGAAATTTGATTTGACGGACTTGACTCCGATTGTCCGACAGACCTGAGGGGAGAATTTCAAGAGCCGCCCTGCGACGCGACGTCCGCAGCTTCACTTACACTTCATCTACCGTTGAGAGTTCACTAATTACTTCACACGACCAATGTGTAAATTTAAAAATCAAAAAGTAAAAAAAAAAAAATAAAATTATAAAATAAATAAATTTTAAAAAAATTACACGATGTAAGTTTCTCCGCCAGGAAGCTCTCCCCGCAAGAAATCGTTCACCACCCGCCCGCCGCGCCGGGAGAACAGCGGCCGGGTGTGGGCGTGCTGCCAGCTCGAAACGCGAACTGACGCCTACAAACCTAAGGGGATACTTCACGCATTGCGCAATGCTTGAAGTATCCAGTTAGGTTTGTAGGCGTCAGTTCACGTTTAGAGCTGGTAGCACGCCGCGTCGCGCCGCGCCGTAAACTTGCACACAATTAATATGTTAGGATATTAAAATCTTGGAAAATTGACATCAAATCTGAAAATAGCGACTCCAAAAACATCAGCAACGAAACTATCAGTCACTATACGACTTATTTCTTCCTGTTCTTGAGTTTTGGACCATAGTGCGCCGCGGGCGGCGACTCATGAAATTCTCCCCTACGCTCAATCTCCGTTCGTCCGTCACTTATTACTTTCGCTCACAACTGAGTTCATTCCACTTTCTTATCATAAGGGTATTGAATAATGTATGATGTTATACTTTAACCGTTCTTTGTTTGTGACTTGTGAATCACAAGACATCCACCTTCAGTATTACTTTCTAAAACCGTAACCTTATTCAGAAAAGCATGTCGACGTCGCAGTGAAAGGGGGGGGGGGCTGACGTTAGCTTTGATTTCTGTTTTTAAAGCTTTACATTGTATTCATTGTATCTTAAGCGACCGACAAAAATAACATTGCACGCGTGAAATTCTAAAATTTGAAGATAAAGATGTAAGTTTTACCAACCGTTGAATGTAAATATACTGAATTCTATTTAAGTAAGAGTTTTCGAATGCAAAAATTTTATTGCTTCCCGTGAATGTACTTACAGGGCCAACTTGCTTCTCAAATCTTTTAAAATTGTTTTAATATAGGAACTGAAATAAAGGCCTTTTGACCAAATCTTGAACTTCCTCCTTTCACTCCCTAAATTTATGAGGTAACCGTCGAGAACCTCACCTCCACCCCTTTGAAGAACATAAGACTGTCCTAACCTCCCCTACCCTGCCGTGCTAAGGAACAACGCCGTATGAACCATTGTTCGTTGCCAAATTTCTTTCCGTAAAATACGAATTTTCAGGAAAACTTATGAAAATTTTCCGTCCAATTATTTTCTAGAGAATTTTCTTCGCAATATGATTTAAAAGTATCAGAAGATTTCAAGTAGAAGTCTTCGTTATTTGTGTTAAAAAATTAATATTTCAAGAGTGGACATTTGGCAACTCTCGGATGTTCATACGGCGATCTTCTTTAGCACGTCAGTACTCGTCCCCTGTCCCATTTTCAAAAAATAACATAAAAAGCCTGACAAATAATTGAAAATTTTGTTTTATTGGAAAACATATTTTTTTAAATTTCGGGAGGCTTACGCAAGACTGATTATGAGCTTAATCCTCCATTCTTATCTCGTATTACTCCTTAAGGCAAGCGTAACTCCATCCCTTGAGTAGCTTACGTAATGCTTGAACGGCCGCGGACCCTCCATTTCAATCACGCTTTTATTTCAGCTTATGTGATCCACCGAAAAAAAGGGATGCTGATTTAACATTCTGGATGTAAAAAAAAGGTGCGAAAACTCACAAAATGCTGAATTAACCGCTACAGCAGTTACTTTAGCGATGTCAAGATGTAAAACTAACTGCTGCGGCGGTTAGTTCAGTGTTTTGTGAGTTTTCGCACGCTTTTTTACATCCAGAATGTTAAATCAGCATTCTTTTTTTTTCGGTGATTCTATTGTATTGCCTACGCAGTGTTAGCGTTTGAATACCGAATACCAGTGGCGTGGCGTGCTTTGCGATATATCGATTGATCTGCCATCTAAACCAATGGAAATGGATCGATAAACAGGGTGTTCGCGACGAACACCTTAATAATCGATTATTTAACATAGCTTCAAATGGGGAAATATCCATCGATAATCGATCATTCATGCCTCGCCACTGCTGAATACACCCTCCGCATCTTTTTGCGAAGGGAATAAACTCTCAGACATCTGTAAGTCCTCTAAATCGAATCCTTGTCATTTCAGGTAATGGCAAGCTCGAGTGAGGAACTAACCGAAGGTCAGCGTTTAGACGCCGGTATAATGGAAATTGACCCGAACAACGACGAGCAGGTCTCAGCCAAGTTCCAAGAGTTTAAAAAGCACTTTGACAGGAACTATGCGGACTCTGCAGAGGAGGAGAAGAGGCTGAAGATTTTCAAAGACAACCTCATCAAGATCCAAAAACTGAATTCAAATCCCGAGGACACTGCCACCTACGGCCTCAACGACTTTGCTGATAAATCCCGTGAGTCAGTTTCTGTAATTTATACTCAACACACTTACGACGATATGTGCACAGGGTGTCTAGCATCAGGATTTTCCCAATTTTCCCGATTCTATCAGGAATTGAGGTCAACCAGGCTTTAATCCCGATTTCATCAGGATTTGAGGAAAATTCTGTCGTAAAATCAGAATTTGAGAGAAGTCGGTCGTCCGCTTATTTTCCGTTAATTATTCGCCATCCGACCTTTAATTTTTCTCCGCAAAAAATCAGGATATTTGATCAGGATTTGGAAAAATTATGACATCAGGATTTAGCAGTAAAAAATCAAAATTTCCCAAAATGAAAACCAACTAGACACCCTGGTGTAAAATTTAAAACAGAGAATCATAGGGTTTAAGTCAAGAAATGAAATCTTCTTTATCATCCTACCAAATTTCGCCATCGGTCCACCCGTGTTCCGTATATAAAAAACAATCGGAATTATTTTGTGGTAGCGACATTTAAACGATTAAAAAATAAACAAATTTCGAAAAATTGACAATGTTGCTATAAAAATCAGCAATAGTTTACTTTATCGGGACAGGACCCAACGCTAGAATCATGTTAAGGTGTAAAAGAAACAAGCGAACCGTCCTTATTTAGTACTGCATACGCCGAACACAAGCCGACTTTCATTAAAAAACGCCTGGATGCAACTATTCGAGCTCCAGGGATGTCCGTGTTGCCTATGCACAAATTTGAAGGCGTTTTGACGTACCGGGTCCTTACCGCTTCACCCGCGGCGGCGTGATTGTTTTAAGAGATCTGAAAATGACAGAGCGCCTTCAATTCTTCGTTCATACCACGAAAGTATCTTTTAGGCACGAATATGTGCTCACAGGTGTAGGATGTACCTTTTGCCTTAGTTTTGATATCGCTAAGTGCTGAGCATAATTGGATTACATTTTGCAAAAAGGAACCACTAGCATTGCAATGTTGCTCAGATTGTGCAACTTTTTTTGTCTTGGAAGAAAAACCCGATTATCCATTAACAGCTTCTATTTTACTCGCTAAAAACTGTAAATTTAAGACAAAAATTACTATCTAAATTTCATAGTTTTTCACGATTTCCGCAATTTTATTGCAAAAGATGAAGTTGCTTAATCTTAGCATCATTGCAATGCTAGTGGTTCCTTTTTGTAAAATGCAATCCAATTCGTAGAGCACCTTTATAGTATAAAGTTTATACATGCTGGAGAAATGTATTGTAGTATAAACGAGAAATGGACCAGTTGCGCTGTTCACGGAATCGTGTTTTGATGATTTCCGAGGATAGATCAGCAAAAAATAATAGAGTTCGTCTTAACACCAAGTTTCCTCATCCATTATTGATGGAGATATCGCCTCTCAAAATACGTGGCGTATAACGTCATCTACTGCTGTAGTGTATGCCACGATTTCTTCCGTGTTTTACGTTGAGAATCCAGTGCAAATAAGTGCATCACTGATTGATAAAACACAAGGTGGAAGAAACCACAATACCATACCATGTTCAAAGTTTGGAAATTCAATACCTAAAGGGTGCAACCTCTCGAAATATTTCAAGAATGATAACCTTTATTTTTATCTTACTGCTATTAAACTTTAATGTGGTATCGAAACCAGTACTTAAATTGTAACACTTACTAATTAATTAATTAATTTTTTTTTCATTTTTTATTTTTTATTTTTTTTATAGCGGAAGAAATGCGAATGCGGTGTGGATTGAGAAGACCAAACCAATGACCAGGTGCTGAACACCGAATTCGAAAATCATTTTATCGTTTTAAAACTAACAATTGTATTGTAATCAGTCATTGAACTTTTCAAACTATTAAAACGTTCTTACAGTATCATCGGGAACTCAGATCTTTGTTTTAACACTCTAAGATTCAATTTTTTCTGAGGAAAAGGAGGAACGAATACCCCTTGTGATTTTGAAAAATAAGGGTAGCTCCCAGAGAGAGAGCTTGCCTTTACCTGAGGCATCAATCAAAAATGTTTAATTTTTACTACAAAATAGCTACTTGTATGTATTATTCTGTGTTGTAAAAGTGAATTTCCCAAACTGAATCTTGCAGCAGTCAATGCTTACAAAGTATTTGAACAGACAGACTAAAATAAAGTATAGCAGCAAATATATATGTATAGCTTCACAAAATTATACACCATAACCGTCCACATTTTTTATCAAATAAAATCATGTTACAATTTAATAATATTTATTTTGAATTTCATTCCTCCTTGGGCAACTTTTCACAACCGAGAACTACTATTTTTTATTCATCCACAGACGCACCATGCTGTTTGTTAAATAAGCTCAAAATAGATATATTTCTGCCAAACGGACATATGTGCATTATGACGTGCGCCCTGTTATGCATATATTCTTATGGGCCTCAGGGCTCATGCCTCAATCGATCCATATAGTTCCCTTTGGCAGAAATACGTCCAAAAGGTAGTTCTCTATCGCGAAATGTAGTATAAGTAACCAGCTCCACTTATTCCCACGCGCATGAATTGGGTAAAGTAAATATAACTGAACAGAATTGAAAATGGAAAAATTTACTATGTAATAATCATTTGCTCCCTCTTGTTTTTTCCATGCAATGAATAGAAAAAATTAATGCATCACTGAGTTTCCAGTAGCAAAGTTCAAATGTACGATATAAGCTCATCAGCACTTATTTCACGGGGCGCAACTTTTTTCTCTCTATCCCTCTCACTATTTTGCTCATCAATAACGTACAACCACGCGGGTGGATTAACTTTTATTGGTTTATCGTTTACTAATGGAAACTATTGGTTTCAGGACATTTTGTCAACGATTTTTTGTCCAGTAGTTTACGCCCACACGTAAAATAAGCAACGGTGACTTGGTCCAAGCGTTATATTTTAGTCGGTATGAAAAATTATATTGACAATATGGAAATGAGAAATTGAGAGAGAATGAGGTGTTGTTATGGTTGCTCATTTTCTAAATGAAATGTTATTACTTTCTCCTTTTGAATCATCTTTTTAAATTGTCATTGGTGAATATTTGGTTTTATTTCTATCCTTAAAATATTCGATGTCCAATATACCTTATATATGTATAGGTACTCTTTTTTTTATCATTTTTTCAATTTTTTCTTTGCGAAATTATTACTTCATTTTGGAGACATTTATATTTTTAAATCGTGACAAATATTTGTGAAACCTTTTCCAAGTGACATTAATCTCAATAAGCCGCAGTTGTGCCGACAGAAACTGCAAAAATGAATAAAAGAGGGAAAAAACCAAGAAGCACGCAATCTTTAGTTTTAACTCATTTGTACATCGATCTTTTAGAGTCGTATACGTCAAATTTTAAGCGTTTGGTTGCGCGTACACCTTGCTGCAGCACAATAAAAGCACAAAATGTAAAAGAAAAAATTAAAGTGCTTTGGAAATCATTAAATTTAACACGGAACCACCAATATTTAAAAAGCACATATAATATTATTATTCTCCTTTGATATACTTACTGATACATATTTTTTCCCCCATCAATTTAAATGAGAATAATAAATGCAGAGTGTGCAAACATTACAAAATCCTAAGTTAAGAAACGCTGACTATGCGAGTATAAATATTAAAGCCTAACAGCGAAGCGGCGCGGCGTGCTGCCAGCACGAGAGGCTCACTGGCGCCTACAAACCTAAGTGGATATTTCACGCACTGCACAATGCTTGAAGTATCCACTTAGGTTTGTAGGCGCCAATGCGCGTTTCGCGCTGGCCGCCCGCCTGCCGTGCGGCGGCGCCTGAAGCAACTATTTCACAACAGAGGTGTTGCACAGTATTATACGAAATTGAACGTATTAAGAATGACAAGCATCCTTTTAAAATACAGATCTTTTCTCGCAAAATAAATCAAGATACTTATTGTACGCTGGAAAAATCTTAAGAGCCTTTAGCTGAGGCAAATATAGAGGTTTATCCGGTTCGGTTCAGGTATAACAAGGTGGGAAAATCTTGAAAGATAATTAAGTCCTGTTACACCAAAGAGGTGTAGAGAATTTTAGTGAATTTTGTCTCGTGGAATTGACGCTCCCCCATTTTTACCAAAACTCTCAACCATATATTATTCTCCGTTGGACCAAACAGGCAAAACAAAAAAAAACAAGCAAACCCTCATTCTTCCAAGACATTTTACATTTTCATCCAAAAACGTCGTGAACAATTGGCGTTTTTATTTACATGTGGGCCAATTAACTGTGGGTCTCAACTGGCACGTGGACCAAAACCCCCGTGCCGAAAAAACGCGTGGACGTAAATTACTGGAAAAAACAGGTGCGCAGACAAAAAATCGTTGACGAAATGTCCTATAACCGAAACTATTGAGTGGACTGAGCACAATATCCTCGACTTCTAAGTCGAATAATTATTGTAAAAGCGATGACAAAATTATCTAATCTGCCGAGAAATACACGTGTGAATAAAAAATGCCGCCTTGTGATATCACAAAGCGGTACCTGCATTTTGTTATGTTTAAATATATTTTTGTGCGATTTACCGGATGCACCAGGAGCTCAGAAGCTCGTGCAGCTCTTTTATAGGATGTCACATAATTTTCACTGTTATTTGTTGTAAGTAACCGTCCGTCTGTTACGTTATGCCGTAACGTTAACGTTAGTTAGACCACCTTGCGTCGATTTTTCATGGCAGATTTTTGAGATATCGGCGCCACACGTTCAATCCAGAGTTTCGTAGCGCAGTTCCTAACGCCCCCTCCTTCCTGTAACGCACACTTAACGCAGGCTTAGGCTCCCTTCTAGGAGCGTTATGTATTTAATGAACGGACCCTGATCTGAAACATTTTAAGAAGATGAAACATTTTATTGCTCTTTCGTGATGTTTTGGCTTCATTAATTGTCAGCAACACCTGAGACGCGTCCTGCTCGCCAACAGATCCAGAATTTCGGTTTCCGGCACAGAATACATAATTGGATTTTAGAAACATCTGCTGCAATGAATTCTGCAAATTCGCAAGCACGTGAAAATTTATGCGCTCCTATCTCTGAGAATATTTCGTGCAAACCACGGATGATTGATGAGGGAATGTGCAAGGTATCGCTTATTGTCACTTTGTGCAGCAAAGTTCGCGTGAATTTTCGGTCCCTGTAAACGATGGAGTGACGGAAATTCCCGATGATCTTTTTTCCGTGCACGTGGTAAACAAAAACTCAAAATTTTGCAGGAAATACAAATCTCTCTTTAATTCTAGGTTTTAAAGGAGATAAGGTAAATTAACGAGGGTCCCGCGGTCAGCTAATGAACAAATTGATTTAAAGAGATTACTTCGAAAGTTTCATTTCCGTTCCTCAATGAGTGAATCAGTGGCGTGGCGTGCTTTGCGATATATCGATCGATACGCCACTCAAACCTAAGAAAAAAGATCGATTATCAAAGTGTTCGCAGCGAACACCTTAGTAATCAATTCTTTACCATAGCTCCAAATGGCGAGATATCGATAATCGATCATTCACGCCACGGCACTGGAGTGAATGTCACTAACCAGAATTAGCTGAGCTGCAATGCACGTCGCCCAGATTTCTCTCACGTTTTATTTGTTTACCAGAGCACTGAAAACATGAAGCCATGAACCTTTCTCTGAATTTTTCTCAGGCTGTTAAAAATACGTTCAAAATTTCATGTCAGAGCATTGCTTTATTTTTTGTTCAAAGAAATAAAACATGGAAGGAATTAGACAACGGCTGGTGTAATATGGCTGATTCTGTCAAATCCATCAAATTTTTTGCGGCCAAGAAAAATAATGACTGCAAAAAATGTCACAATACGAATTTTGATACGCCGTTTTGAGGGATTCTCCAAAAAGCTAAAAAAGGAACATTGACTAGTAAAAACCAAACACCGAGCGGACTATCATGTTTAAACACTATCCAAGAATTAAACATTTTCGTTATTAAAAAATGCCGAGGAGCGAAATGTCTTTCATTAGAACAATACATACTTTTATTAATGAGCAATATTCCCAATACATTTTTACAGCTACTGTATTTTCGCCTTCAATTTGATAGGGTAGGCAAAATGAGCTGCTGAAAATGGACGACACGGATAACGACAGGCACTGGAAATAATCTAACCTCTATAAAGACTTTTAAAAGTATCTTTTGGAACACGGTAATCTTGTACTATATTTTTTCTTTACAATGCAAATTCATGTTTGAAGAATAGGATCTTGCCGCCGCCGCTTCCCCCCCCCCCCCCCCNCTCCCATGACTGCCCACCGTATAAGGGCATGTGGATGAAACAGGGCACCTACTATACTTTCGAAACTCGTCGACACCTCACTTTGGTCCACTTGACAGCGAGGTCTACAACTGAAAGCGACGATTAATCGAAATCGAATGATTCTATCGTCCAGAAGAGCCCCTTTGAGTGTTCGCTCACACTCGATCTCATCGATAGATCGATCCTTGCAGGATGCACTAATCTGAGATACGCCGAGGCTTGTGCGCCATGGCAGTCGGCCCTTCTCCCTCCACCCATCAATCGAGCCCATTTTCGCAATTATCTTTGTTTATTTGATGACACTTAGCGTCAAACGCATCCAACCGCTTCGTTTCCGCGAACGAACGTGTTTCAATACGGGAAGATTTTTTCATTTTCTATTTGCCGAAAACCACGACATACACGCGTTTAGCTTCATCCTGATTTTTGTTCGTTAACATTTCTCATTTGACTTAGGTGGAGTGTAGAGGACTCTCTGAAGATGTTTTGTCAAGCTGTGCTAGTCCTTCTCGTATCCAACTGCATCCTGCAGGTAAATTATCACATCATATTTAATAGGTAGTTTACAGGTAGCTCTTAGGGCAGTTTTTACTTTAAAATTTTCTTCTGTGTAACTTTTCCCCCTGTCTCTGTGTATTCGATGTCTCATAATTTTATCCACTCTTCAGAAATTGTCTCACATTTGATGTTGCATATCGGCGATTTAGGTCCGGGGATATTTTTGTGTTTTTAAGTTAGATTTGTTTTAAAATAATGCTGTTTGATAGTCGGTGTAAACGTGAATAGTGTTTTTTACAATCGAAAAATTGTTTGGCCAATATCCTTGGTGCACATGGAAACATATTTCAGATTACATAAAATTGGGAGCCACAAATTACAGAAGAAAACATTGACAAGAATAGAGAAAATACTTAATTGATACGATACTAAAATAAAAGTTCTCTTCAAAAATTGCGTTGCGTGTGACGGTATAAAAATCCGGACACTGGTTGTCATGGTCATAATTTTTTGAAAACATTTTGTAATCAATTAAATGAAAATGGGAAATTTTGCAGAACTCATTTATAAGAGAAGATTTTAAAAAGATTACGTGACCTTTTATTAGTGCATGATGAAATTTGTTTGCAATGAAATCAGAACTTCTACCCTAGCTGTCAAAAGTTTTTTAATTTCATCTCTCGTCCGTTATGCTTTGTTGAGCACAGAAATTGGTTTTTTTCTTTAAATTGATTTCCTTGCATACCAATTTTTCTTCGTATGAAACCTTCTCAATAATTTCGCGGATAAATCCTAGGAGCGCCTGAGTTTCAAGTTTCTTGCTTTTTAACCTGGCATTATTGATTACAATCGAGTTGAAACCACTAATATCGTGCATCTTATCAAACCATTAATAGGAGACAATCCATTATCAATATCAGTGGAAGAGCTTCCGTACTTTGGTAGTGAAGCTGCAGGAACGCGTATTATCTCGGTTTGCAACGTTGCAGACTTCCTGTCAAACTTCACTTAATTTTTAAATGGAAAAATACTTAAAGTCATTTCTTGAAAACTCTCCTGTTTTTTTTTCTCTCTCTCTCCCCCCTCTCTCCCTCTCTCCCCCTCTCTCTATGATATTCTGCAATGATTCCAAACAATTGGTTCGTCCTCATTCGATAAAGCACAATAGCAGGAAGATATTAAATCACTCCAAACGTTTCTGCTTTTGCCGTAACTCGGCCGCCAAACGCAATCCGTTGTAAATGGTAACGCCTGGTGAGTTATGCGACTATTCCTGCTCTGTAACAAGAATTGCACATCGCTAAAAATGAAGGCACTTTAACTGTTTCTGCCTCACAGACATGTGGTTTCTAGTAAATTGCTTGCGCGATTTTAGTCCAATTAGCAAAGGACTGTTAAATAAGGAGTCATGACACCCAAAGAGTAGTGAAATCAGGGTTATCTGCTCATCCGTGTATCGAACATCAGGTTTTTGCCGTTATATCATTTTTGAAATGGACAGCTTAAGGGTGGTTTCACGATAACTGGAATAGTTTTGTCGCCGTAACAGACAATACATTTTTCGGTCATATTTTTAGTAGTGATGCTACACAGGGTTACGTGTTATAACGCTTTTCAGAGATTTATCGCTCTACTTTTCAATTTTAACATATAAATGGCCGAAAATGTGCTGTCTGTTACGCTGACTTTTTACCGCGTAACAGACAGCACATTTTCGGAATTTACATAATATTAATTGAGAAGTAGAGCAATAAATCAGTAAAGAGCGCTGTAATAGAACGCTGAAATAGAGCGCTGTAATAAACCCTTTGGAGATTAATGCGAAAAAACTAAAGTGATTATCATTTCTACTAAAAATATGTCCGAAAAATATGTTGTCTGTTACGGCGACAACACTGTTCCAGTTATCGCAGTTATATGAAAGCACCCTTAACAATGCGCAATTTTTTTTTACGTTAATTTTTTTAATTTTGCTTATGGCTTTTCCGATGCACTCATCGTGCTAATAAAGCCAGGTATCACAATAAATATTTTAGCGAAATTTTGCGACGGATCTATTTTGCAGGGCCGGATTAAGGGGGTGGCCACATGGGCCGCGGCCCATGGCGGCAAATCAAGGGGGCGGCAAATCAAGGGGGCGGCAAATTTTGCAATTTGTTAAAAAAAAAAAATTTGAGAAAAAAATTACATACGAGAAAAGGCGACAAAATCTCTCATTTCTTGAGAGTATAGTAATTTCTAATTTTTTTGTCTTTTAGTGATAAAAGAGACAGCACCTTTTATTAATCGAGTTAAGAGAGACACCAAACACGCAATTTGGCATGGACTAAGAGAGAAATGATGACGAGGACTTGAGATGAAAAGGAGAAGCCCTCGGCGCGGCGGTCGGCATGTAACGCATATTAGCGCCTACAAGACTGTACGAATACTTCACGCCTGGCATCAAACACAGTGCGGTCACTGCGGTCAGCATGGAACGGATAGCGCCTACAAGAGTGCATGAATACTTCACGCATTGCGCCAAAGACAGTGCAGTCTGCGCGGCGCGGCGGCGGAAGTTAAAATCATTAAACTACATCTATGTTTGTTCTTTCATAATTTGTTCGTTCATTTCTTATGAAAGGAAGGCCTTGTCCACACAGAGATGGGTTTACGGAACTTAATTTTCGCGCAAAGCTCCGTGAACTTTTGCTAGTAGTGTTAGCAGGGCTTTCCCAAAAATATGTACAACACGAGTAAACGATTCTTATGCACCCCTCCCCCGCTGGCACGCTTACTTGATGGTTTTTATTGGTATTTCAAAACGAATGAGAAGGGGGCGGCAAAATACAGGCGGCCCATGGGCGGCAAGTAGGTAAATCCGGCCCTGCTATTTTGGTAAATTACCAAAACTTCTCCTGATATAATTAAACTAATAATTAAAGGCTCATGATATTTTAGGGGACGACAGAAAGCACCGAGGAAACTTCCAGCCTTGAATATGACATAAATGACGGTCTGATGATGATTGACACGAGCAACGACGAGCAAGTGATGGCGAAGTTTGCGGAATTCAAAAATATTTTCACTAGAGACTACGCGGACGCTGCGGAGGAGGAGAAAAGGTTTAAGATTTTCAAAGACAACCTCATCAAGGTCCAAAAGTTGAACGCAAACCCCAACGATGACGCCATTTACGGCATCAACGCATTTTTCGATCTAACCCGTGAGTACATATTTCAGATTGCAAGTCATTGCTCTAATAACACAATTCTGACGTTTAAAAGCTGTTTTTTGAAAAATCTCTAAAAACAGAAGATGTTTTACAAATGAACTACATTTTGCAATTATTAGGACCTATAAATTTCGGCCCGGTTTGAAAACAACGTATGTATGTCATTAGTTTCCCTATGCACATACATGTTTTTTCAGATGAGCCAGGATTTATTGGTCCAAATTGCAAAATGCAGTCCAAATGTTCCCATGTAATATGGAAAAAACTTAAAATTTCAGACACGACTTTCCAACGTTTCAGGAAATATGATACCTATGGTGACGTATTCGCATTTTTAATATGTTTTGAAGACATGTTTGATCATTTTAAAATGTTAAAAAGTATTTAAAATACAATAAAAATTTTAAAGCCATTTTTTAAAAAAAATCTAAAAAGTTTTAGAAAATTTAGGTTTATAAAAATAATTTATAAATATTTTTTTGTCGCTTGAAGTTTCTCCTTCTTTAGGCTTGTCATTACGTAAGATTTTGCAATCGTTCAAATGAAAGGGCTAACAACAACTTCACAACTTCAACTTTTTATCTAATCAAATTGTCATAACTTTGTCAATTTTTGACCAAATGAGTTGATCTTGGTTTCATTCGATAGTTTGTAAGTTAATCTTTAAAATGAAATCAACATCAAGCGTTTACCTAGGTCAGTTTTTGAACTACAGAAACAGTTTGGATAATTTTTGGAGAGCATGTATAAATATTTACGCTCAACAACTCATATTAATCTTCAAAAGAAACGAGATCTTCTGAGACTGGAAAAAAATATAAACAGGGATACTAATTTTGTATGCAACTCATGTGTCTATCAGATTAAGTACTTCAATAATGGAGTTGGTTTCAATTTCAGCGGAAGAAATGAGAATGCGCACCGGATTGAGACCGCCTCAACCTAAAACTTGATCTGGAAAACGTTCCCTCACCCTCAGAATGCATCCTGGATTAAGAATCAAGATTTACCAGGATATTTTCTCTGTCTGATTTCTCAATTACAGAGTGGTAACTTCTCGTGGCTATGCAAATAAAAAGTTTTGGTACCTCAATAACTCATATCAAAACTCTTTATACCAGTGTTACATTTTTACTGTTACACTTCAGTGGTGCTTAAAAAAAAGAATAAACATTTATGCCGCTCGCCAGTAGCAATCACTGGCAATCAGCAACTTGTTTCGATAAATTGGAATCTTCCTCATTCAATCTCGCCTTCATTTTTCCGCGATACTCAACGCACAGTCACGAACTTAGTTAGGTTGTCTATCCGACCTGAAATAAACTGAAGACACTGATTTCACGACTTTCTCGAGCGAGTGTCCTAGATGCCACCTTGTTTTAACGGAAGAAAAATCGCCTACGTCAACTTAATTAAGAGGCAACATAATCAATACTCTTTTTATGCTCCTGAATTTTTTCATCTTATGATTTTGTATTTATCACACCAAAGTCTTGCAAATTGCCAGCGATTGCTAATTGCCTACGGCATAGAGTTCGATTATATACCCCTCAATTTTGATTTTCGTTTGTTTCTCACGTCTGTCACGTTCAAAATGAGATGCATCCAAGATTTTTGATCCATAGTTACCGTGATCGTTACATTTTGTGTTTCCTAAATGAGGTATATTCACTATCACGGCTGCGTGGTACTTCGGATGAGTACAACTCAATGTGTACCAAACCAGAAAGATGATTGGATGATATTCGGCATTGAATACGTTATTATCAATGAATTACTCATTCGAATGAACGGCATCAAATGCCGGCGCCGTTTTTGGCAATAAAAAGTGTCATATCTGTCTGGCCAATACCAAGTGGGTTAACAGTGAAATTAATAAAAAGTTATAATCATGGTTAGATCTAGGCGTATATTTTTTCATATGTGTGAATAATAAATACAGATATATTATGTACAACGAAATAATGATTTTAAATTACAATATCGCAAAGATCATGAAAACACTAAATACTAAAAAATTAACTTAATAGGTAAATATCCCAACGCTCGGAATTTCCAGAAATTCCTGGGATCTAGCAAAAGGCCTTCAATCACGACTTTAACGAAAAATAATTAGCAAACATGTTCGCACTGATAAATCAGCGTTTACATGATTACTAGTCATTGTATTTCGAAAAATCAAACAATCTCTTAAAGAAGTATAATTAGCCGTCTCCAAGAGAAGGTAAATACATAAACGATTCGGGAGGAACTAAATCACAAAGTAAACAAGCATGGAACTGCTTCCTCTGTTAAACGCTTTTTTTGGTGATAAAATTATTTTAAATCATCGGTGTCAAGAGAGAGTCAACTCTCAATATTAAACAGTAAGTCAACTATTTTCCGCTTGACATTTCAAAATCGTTTGAAATTGGAAGTACTCGTCTAAGAAAATGGCTAGATGGATTTGCCAAAGTACGATGGCCATACTTGAAGCAACCTGATGCCCGTAATTGACAAACACTTTTTTCGAAATAAACTAACACTAAGGAAAATTCACAAGAAATTCAGGTACGTTGTCCAACTATCAGGTTGTTTACTCTTCGATCTAGTTATGTACTTATATCCAACCACGGTCAAAAATGTTTACCTTCACAAATTTGGATCTATATCACTTCAGCTAATAAATTACTTAGGAGAGAAAATCTTCCTACTCAAGGAACCCGAATCGAAAGAAAAGTACAAATGTAGCTAAGTACATCTGACAGAATAAGCTTTCAAAGGAACATTCATTCTTTCCTAAAGTTATACCGCGGGAAAGCATCACATTCTCGTGAAGGATGCCATGTCATCTTTTCAAAGAAAGACACGGACTGTTTGGCGTCAAAATTTTTGTCTGGCGATCATCAGTCAATGCACAGTTTCCGGAAAGATCCTGTGACGGAACTCATGGAGAATTTATCATTGTTGTTGTCTTTTGATCTCTTGCTTTCGACGGAGACAAGCGATTCGTCTTCCAAAAACCAGTTGCTTTTCCGTCTCAGAACATTCCTCCACTCGTCTGAAAAAACACCACGCAGCAATCAGTAGAAGTAGACAGAATTAGTAGAAGTAGTAGGATTAGACACTACAATCGAGGGGTTTGGAGGACAAGGCGCATAAAAGCAGTTTTTGTTGTTTCGAGAAATACGTGTGCGAAGTTTCGAAATTACATGGATCCTTATGGCAAATAAAAAGTTCATACTGATCAATTAATGCTTAAAGATTGGAATTTGGAAACGAATTTCCCACAGAATATGCATTAAGACTAGTTTCACTTGAAATCATTAATACCTCCATTTTTTCAAAAGCTGCACTTATGCGCGTTGTCCCCCAAGCCCCTCAATTAATTGGTAATGAAGTTTTAAATCAATTGATTGGATATGAAGTTTTAAAAGCATCTCTTTTCATAAATCATTTCACTCGACGAGCATTGCAGTGACAGAGGTATTTGTGGTGAAAATCGTTTATTTTTAAGAGATTCCTTAATATCTTAGGTCATCCATATACCAAGGATGCCGTGAAACAAACAAAGGAGTTAAAGGGCAAAGAAAGAATAACTGCATTTTCTGTACCCCAGTTTAGCCTTCCTTTCCGTCAAGGACCCCTCAACATCTTATTCTTTTCAGGCTCCCAAACGCTTCATTGAAGTTTCTGATTTTATGTACGTTTTCAACCCCAAATTTCAAAAATTTGCATAGTATCCTCTTAGATTATTACCGCATCTACCTATTCTTACCCACGAAAATCGGGCTAAGTAGTTTGCAAAAATTTTATTTAAAACTACAAGCAGCCCCTTCAGCCTCTATGAAAAAAAATGTGACCGGGCATGCGAAAAGAGGGGACTTAAAGAAGAAGAGACAAACTTTGAGATCAGTAAACAACTACTTAAAAGGGTTATTTTCGCACCACTTGCTAGAGAAAAACACCCAAAAATTGAATTTTTAGAGCGTTTCAGAGGTTTTCAGAGGCGTTTCAGGTTGAAAAATCGCGATTGAGAGAGCAGCGCAGACGATAGAGCTGAAGTGCTGTTGCCAGCCTTTGTTCTTGTTCATTTCAAGTGCTTGTAGTTTTGTTTACTACGCAAATTTTGACAAAATATTTTTGAGAGTATCAGATATTGATTTTCATTAAATACGGGAGATCGATGATTTCGATTTGAATAACATTTTTTCGCTCATATAGAAAATTTGGACTTCCCTTTCAGGTGGACGGAGCCGTGCCATCAAAAACTATCTGTTTTTTCCTTTTTTTTTTAAAAAAAAGGGGAAAATGACATTTTATCATTTGTGGTTGGTCTAAGGACATGAGGTACAAAAGAAACTTACTATTGATACACTGCGTGTCTGGCAGTTCACCTCCCAGGTCCTTTGGGAGCACCTTGGATGATAGACTTTTTGCGAGTGACTCAGTTGATTTGTGGTGAACAAGCTGTAATACAATCGAAAGATGGTGCTGAGTTTAGGAAAAATAAGTATTTTTTTCCTTATGCAAAGAAAATATATTTTAGTGCAAATACCTCAGATGCGGGACGAATTTTGGTTCACATCATTTTTATCGAAACGTTGAAAGTAATCTTTACGTTTACAAAGATCTTTTCCCGCAGACTCTTGGGGAAAAAATAGTGAAACAAAATTAACATAAGAGTTAATCTCTTTGCCTATGGGAAAAAGTATGCGAAATTTCAGTATTGATTTATTCTTGACTAGAAAAAAAGGGGGGTATCATGCTGAAATTGATCTCGGTAGGTAGAAATTTCTAACTTCCTTAAATGAGTCTATTCGCTTTTCATGTTGGAAAATCAACGGAATATTCTTCGAAATTTTATCGAGAGCAGCTTTTGTCCCAAAAACCGTACAAACTTTCCTGACTTAAGTCCATGTCCGTCAAAATGAAAGAAGCTCGACCATCTTTTAAACTGTTATAAGTATTAATAGGAAGGAACTTTTTGGGTTTGGTTCATAGATTTTTGCCTTAATTTTTGGAAATTTAATTAAATTTTGATCGTTCAAATTTGAGTTTTGCCCAACTTGAGATTAAGATAACTTACCCTATCCATAATTTTTCGAGAGAAGAAAGGTTTCAAGATCAAGATACATTTCTCAATGAAAGACGCAGTGTAAAGGAGATGTACATTCTTTATTCTGAGCGGCAACATTTTCTGAAAGAAAACAAGAAAAATATGAAGTTGATGATTCAAGTAACAATGGAGATCACAATAGATGTTACACAGATTAGATTTTAAGACTCAGCCGTATTTTTTTTTTTTTTTTTTTTTCTTTTTTTTGCATTTATCACCTCGTGAAAATGTAAATCCCAAAATGGTTTCGTATTTGATGATATCCTTATAGTACGTATGCTCTGAATTGCCCGCGTATGTATTTTCAGGGAACTCATAAATAAAATTGAAATCAATCTACTCTCTCGGATATCGTGAGAATTAAAGAAAATTAAGTAATTAATTAATTAATAGAAGTAATTCATTTAGCTTGAAAAGAAAAAAAAAGAAAAAAATCAACGCATAAAAGTTTAAGAAGAGATTTGATCGCAAATCTCTATCGGATGCAAAAACTCATGGAGACTTAAACGCCCGTGTAGAACAGTAAGACACGCACGTAGCGACATTGAACTCACTGAAGGAATTCTCCTATCACTATAGAGAATGTCTCTCATCAGTTATACTGAATCTATGGGTACCTAATATCGAACAAAAATTTTGTCAAAATACTCGTACTTTTGGAGATGTAGGTGTGATGAAACATCTTTTGTCAGTTTAGTTCAATCAAAAAAGGTCTTACAAACAGAGAATTTGATCGTGACGAACCGAGATTTCGTTTTCTTAACAAACCAAATTGTTTTGTCGATACAAAAACCGATCGCTTGGCTTAGATTATCCACCTTCCTAGCTCTATGTTGGTGTAAAACCACTGAAAATTGGAAAATCAATAAGTTTGGAGCATCGAAGAGTAAAGGAACTTCTTCGGTTTTCAAGAGAGTCGCTGTGGACTGGCAAACAAAAAGTTTGTCAAAACGACAAATTTTATTCACTTTTTTTAGATGAAGGCTTGTAGGCCAGGTACTTAAATAGAGATCACTCACCTTTCCTAATGACAGGACTTGTTTCAAGAAAACGAGATCAATTTGAGCCATGTGACTAAAAACTAGATTCCTAATATCGAGAATAACGACAAAGCTTGTGAAATCTAGTTTGTTCCTCAGGAATGCTTCCAAGATCATCCTTATCCTCTGGCAAAGCTCCTGCAGTTTAAATGTCTGCGGATCGGTGCTGTTGAAACCGATGATGAGTATCCGTGATCCGTCTTCAGCCTTTGGTTCCAACACAACTACGGATCTGAAATTCAAACACGCGGAGAGATGTTTAGAAATTTATTCAGGATTTTTACACGTTTATTTGTAGCAACAAGTATCATACAGACACAATAATCTGAAGTCTTTCGTTTTAATTGTCGTAACAGCTCACAGATGATGCTTGAAAATCTTTTATAGTTTAATCGAGGAATTGTCCGCGAAACTTTATTGAACCACACGAAGCAACCTGTTCTGGGGCTGAAATAATGTTCACGAGGCACGATGTGTACCTAATAAAATGTGATTAAGTTTTTTTGTAATTAAGTGTACTATTTTTCATGTAAAGGTTGGAATATGAAAAAAAATATGTCAAAAAATCTTAAATCTGAAAATGACAGGAATTATTGTGAACAAAATCGGCAATGACCACGATGATTTTGCCTCAACCAAGATGCTCAATACAAGCTTCTAAAAAACGTGAATTTTTTTTTCCAAATACAGACTTCAGTAAGTTTTAGGTGCCCTTTGGGGAATTCTTGAAATTTCTAGCCTTTAAGTCGTGAAGAAACATGTCGGTATACTTACACGTCATTATAATATTCGCTGTATAGGGCTGAGTCTGACAACAGGATGTTCGGGTGAAGCGCCCTCAATAGGAAATAGCTATCAACGCAGTCTTTAGTTTTCTCCAGACTATTTCTGTTCATGAGCAAGAGATTTTCCAACCAGTTTCTGACTTCTCCTGCAACAATAATCGAAAATTTTTGTGAATATTTTTTACATTGTAAAATTTCGTACTTGTAAAAAGGAACACAAAGGGTTTCCTAACTCGGATGTTTTGATAGTTCAAAAAAAAAAAAAACCCAAAAAACAACAACAACAACTGTCCACGAAGTTTTCTCATTGAAATTTACGAGATTTCTAACGCCAATTGGACAGAGCTTAACAGAAAGGAACCAAGCCACATCAGCTATTGCCAAGTTTAACTGGGCAATTAAATTTGTTACGAGAGAACGTTTGTTCGGATTTCTTTAAACATTTTAAGGAATTTGCTTCGTACCATGGAGACTTTTCACTGAAATTTGCACGAAAATCCGCAAAACCGTTTTCATGTAATAAATTAAATTGCCCAATTAAATTTGGCAATAGCTGATGTGGCTTGGTTCCTTTCTGTTTAACACGGTCCAATTCTACCAAGGCAAGTCAAAGGTGAATCTTAGTGAACTAGTTGCAAGTTATTATATCATAAACGTTGCAGCTTCAGGTGTAATCTGATCTGACCGATATAATAAAAAGAAAAGGAATGATGTTGAATAAACGTGAGCTAGAGACGATGGTGGAGTTTTGAAAAGTTTACAAATCTCATTCGATTGCAGCGTAATAATAGCGGGCAATTCCTCGTCGAGAGGACGATGGAAGTTTGCGTCATTTTAGCGCGTATTTATCCAGACGCATTTAATACGTCGAGATTGTGCGGAATAAATATCTGAACTTGAGTGGAAACTTTCAACCTTGAGTGTTTCCTCGATAGCGCCGCTTTGGTCTGTATAGATTTGTCCACCACAGTGAGAAAGAAAACATCTGTCCAGGAAATGGCTAACGATCAGTGACTCCTCGACCTTTTCTCCCCTGATTTTTAAAATTGGAGAAAAAAATTGTTCTCTTGTAAGCAACTTATTGCGTGACCTTTAATTAGTGGAGAATCTCTCCGAAGATACGTTGAATTACAATGATACGATTTAAGTTTTTATTGATTTTTGATGGGTAAAAAGACGTTTTGAATCAGAGCAGTCGAAAAAGAAATGATTGAATTTATACATCTGTTTTTTAAAGGTCTTGAATTATGCAAAGCCAAAAAAAATTTCTACAGTCGATGCTAACCAAAGTTTCGTTGAAACCCCCTTTCGTAATTCCAAGATATTTTCGTTTCGCGAAAGGCAATATAATTTTTGTTCCGATTTGGTCAATTGACAACGCAATATAATCTGCTTTATAATCTTCGATATATGAAGAAGAAAGTATTCGAGCAGACAAAATAACAGAAATCATCCTATTCTGTAGCAGAATTTGGTGGAAGTAATGGTAATGCCAATTTTACGACATAGAATATTATTTTAATCAGTTAAAGCGGCTCCAAGCTATCAAAAGGGAACAGATACTGCGGGCTGATTATTGAAATTGATAAACAAAGCAATAGACAAAAGAGACACAGGGAAAATAAAGTGCTCCTATTGACTGGAACGGGTGGTTGCTGTTAGTTAGTCGATAACTAACCTCCGTTTTCCATCGCAACTATTCGTCCCCACTTAAAGGATCGCTCAATTTTCCAATTTTCTCATTTGTCTATCAATTTCAACAATCAGCCTCGAATACATCTAAAAATTAAACTTCCTTTAGTTTTAAGGTGCCTATTAAACGATATAATAATTCATTGGGTCCAAAGTATCAGCTTCATTTATGAACTGTTCGTCATGTGGGGCTTTCACCATCATAGTTGGCAACCTGGGTCGAAGCGTTGAACGCACTGAGGTGCTGACCAGGAGGCCGGGATGCGATTGGTCAAGTCGATCTCTTCCTCGTTAAGATAGTTGGGCCGAATGCCAAGAAAACTCGACTCTAACTGATGCCCTTTTTATTAGCAGAATGCTTGTCCTGTCATAGTGAAGATTTTACAAAATTATCACATTTCAGGGCTTCATTTAAAGTGAATTAAATATTAAATCGCGTGACACGGCAACGTTGTTGCGCTGTTTTCAGGTGGTTTTAATCAGTGGCGTGGCGTGAAGGATCGATTATCGATATATCGCCATTTGAAGCTATGGTAAAGAATCGATTACTAAGGTGTTCGCTGCGAACGCCCTGATAATCGATCTTTTTTCATAGGTTTGAATGGCAAATCAATCGATATATCGCAAAGCACGCCACGCCACTGGTTTTAATGCATGGAGGAGATGTACAGCAAGCGGAATAGAATTCTGAGAGGAGAAAACGTGTATAAATACGTAGATAACGTGAAAATAAAAAGAAGGGGAAGGAGGAGAAGTTGGAGCAGGAGAAGAAGAAGAATAAGAAGAAGAAGAAGAAGTAGAAGAAGAAGGAGTAGAAGAAGAAATATAAAAAAGAGAAGAAGGAGGAGAGGAAGAGGGTGAAGAATAAAAATAAGAAGAAGAATAAAAATAAGAAGAAGAATAAAAATAAGAAGAAGACGAAGAATAAGAAGAAGAAGACGACGAAGATGGAGAAGAAGAGGAGGAGGAAGAAGAGAATGAAGAAGAAGAAGAAGAGAGGAGGAAAAGAAGAAGAAGAGGATAACGCAGAAGGAGAGAGGAGGAAGAATACGGAAAAGAAGAGGAGAAAGAAGGATACACTTCTCGGAAAAGCGCAAGTTCTTTCCAAAAGACTAAACCTGTGCGGGAAAAAACTAAAATTTTGAACTTAAGCCCTTCTACCAGAAACCGCTTCAAATAGCAAATGCCCACAACATGTTCGGAAAGACCAGAATTAATCCCACATCGCAGCCTTGGATAGCCTTGGGTGGGAGTTGCTGAAATATCTCATTCTCCTCCGCTCTGCATGTGAGCGGCTAGACTTCCTGCACTTTTTCCGCTATAAAAAATGTATCACGCGATATATCGTTAGTAAAATTACAGTGTCAATGCCACCGACCGACTCGACCGAGGAGAAGTGGACATGCCTTTGACTGCGCGCGGCCACGAGGAAACCGGGCGGCGGATCCAATAAAAAAACTCGAGGAACGAAAAAAAAAAAAAAGGACACGAATCGAAAAAACTTACAAAAAAAAAGTCGACGATGCACAAAAAACTACTTCACGCATCCTTAAACTAATCTTCGTCCACAGTGGTTTGTCATTCAAGCCGTTTCCTACGAAAGGGGAAATAAGGAAAAAGAAAAGGGGGAAAAAACCTTAACGGATAAAGTAGGAATTTCATTATAGTTCTCATGATTTGGCTTTCAAAGACTATTAGATGCTTTTAGTTTAGTTATATAAAATCCACATTCACTTGCAAAGAAACGTGAGTGAATAATTACATTTCTTTACAGAGTTAATTTTTTTTTTTTTTTTTTGGGTGATTGTTTGAATGTTGTTGCGATACATTGCTATTTTGTAATGGCTCAGTTCTGTTACTAGAATTTTAGGGTCATCACATTTATTTTTGGCAGGGAGACTCAGTGAAAAAAAAAGAGAAAAAAAGAAAGAAAAATGAAAGAAAGAATCTAAGAAAGAAACTTTATCACAAGACAGACATTGACGTTTTCTATTTCAAAAGATTTTGATTAAATCACCCTAATTTTAAAATGACGAGTTTTTTCTTTTCCCACGTTCTTTTTCATTATGGTTTGTTTTGCTCGTTGTTGGAACATTGCCATCTAAAAACGGATAGATGCAAATTTTAATTTTTCATATTCACAAAATTTTCCCATATTTTCTTAAAAAAGAAGAACTCAAGAAAAATACGTGCGGGGTGGATAGAAACTTGTTTTCTGAGTTAGAGGTTGAAACGAGCAGTTCCAACGCCAAAGCGTTGAATGGCGCTTCTTTAACACTGCGCATGCGAGGAACGTTTTCATACGGCCAAGCGAGAGTATGGCGGACGGACGATGTATAACAAATTGCCTACGTGAAGGTGGTCCGGCAGCAACATACCCGCCGCTAGTCTCTGGAAAACAATAGAAAATAGTAGTTGCATACGTTGCCAGCGAGCGCGCTGCGAGCGCATCTGTTTCCATTACCTAGCATCGAGTCGGGCCCAAAGACATAAAGACGGAGTGCTCGTATCTAAAAGCACGGGGAAAAAGTGAAGCTAGGTTCGGCGCTGCGCGTTTGTGTGAGTGTGTAAATGAGCGCGGGAATCCATGGCGGCAAACGGAAATTTGATTTGAACTTGTCCTCTTGATTTTTCCTTATTTCTTCTTCGAAACGTGTTTTAAATGCTTAAAACGATTATATTAAGAAAGTTCGGTCTGCGTCCTAATATATTACACCTACTTTTGCTCGGTAACAGGCAGTAATCTCAGATAAAGTTAGTTTTTCTTCTGCTTATGGTGGTTCTGCAGGTTCAAACAGGCCGTTACAGTTCTAGATCTACGTTACTCCCAAATGAAATCAGTCGGTCGACGACGGACCGAAACTAACCTAAAGTTAATAAAATATGAGTGTGTACCTGAATTTGGGCAAAAATCAACCTAAAATACTTTGTTTCCGCAATTTTATTTATTAGTTCCCGCCCTACATTTGAATTCAAACTTGTCCCGATTTCGCCGCCAATCCTCTAGCCAATAGTAGAGGTGATTGAAAAGAAGCTCTAGAAGCTTCATTTTTTGCTTTTAGTGCTCCGTCTTTATGTCTTTGGTCGGGCCTCTAACTTTCTATTCTCTCTGACATAACCTTAAACCTTCAACCCTGAGCCGCAAACAGCTGACGCTTGACGATGCTGCGCCGAGAAAATGAACCAATCACAAAATAGCACTGTAATACGTCACTAAAATGAAGAGATCACGTGACTGTTCGTGATTTTTTCGAATCAATCTGAAACTACAACCTCGAATATGAGGCATTTAAGCATAACGAAGCCCCAAATTAGTTTAACCAGGTAATACGTCCGTGCGAGATTGTTATGCTTAAAAGCAAAACATTTCACGAAAACTTTTACGAATACCAGATGCAGAAGAAAATCAAATTTTCCCGGGTGTACCAGAATGGCGTCATTACCCATAAGGCAA